AGTGGAGATTTTAAACAGTATTTTCTAGTACTTCTTTTGTTTGTTATTTTCAGATTTCTAGTCTGGATGTAGTCTGCAACGTCTGAGGTGTATTTTGGATCATCTTCTTGTGAATGCCATAGTACCGATGATAACATCAACTGGTAAGTTAATAATGTCAGTTAGTCGAAGTTAACTAACTTGAACAAAGAGAAGCATAGTAAGTTATCTTCTCTACTCTGCCTCTTTATCGCTAGTAAGGTAATTCTCTTCAAATGCTATTTAAGTCAGAAAGTGTACCAATGTCGTATGTAACTTTAGAGATGGTCCCTAAATAAGTGACAGACGTAACGTTAACATAAAACAGCGAGCTAACAACCTACTGAGGAAAACTGAGTTAAGAAACACCAGTTAAGAATATATTTTGTATTTTATTTTCAAGTTTGTGGTCATGTCGTCTGCATCAGAGGTGTATGGAGTCTTGTGATTGCCTCGTAGCGGTGCTAACAGCAGGTGAGCTTCCATCAGCTTAACTAACTTTAATGTCACTAAATTAGCCTCTAGCTGCTGTTCTCTTACACTTCAATTATGAGACTACAGTGTTTCCCATACATTGAGTACGGGTGTTTTTATATCACTGTAGTTCTGAAGGAAACCGACTGTCTTCAGACAATTTTGGATGTAATTTTAATTTCTTCTTGCATGTAATGTCTGATAAAGCAGTGTTTGTGAGTGGAGCGCTGCTTTGTGTACAGCAGGGGTGCCCAAACTCGGTCCTGGAGGGCCGGTGTCCTGTACACTACAAGTCAAAAGTTATTGAACAGTAAGATTTTTTATGTTTCTTAAAGGGGTCATATGATGCTTTTTTAAAGATCATTATTTTGTGTATTTGGTGTAACAGAATATGTTGACATGCTTTAATGTTAAAAAAACATTATTTTTCAAATACTGTACATTATTGTAGGTCCTCTATGCCCCGCCTCTCTCAAACGCTTCGTTTTCTACAAAGTCCCTCCTTCCGACAAGCGCAGTCTGCTCTGATTGGCCAGCTGACCCAGTGCATTGTGATTGGCCGAACACCGCAAGCACTCGTCGGAAATGTAACGCCCCTTACCATAATCGCGAGCTTCATCTTACAAAATAAATGTAAAGACAGTAAATAATGTCATTAGTTTTACCATCAGTTCAAGCCCGAAAGGGGAACAGACACAGTAATGATGCAGTACACAAGCCGCGGTTAAGACAGCTGACTCTACTGTGATGTGATATGTGTGTGTGCATGAGAGACAGAGAGAGAGAGAGTGAGAGAGAGAGAGAGACACACGGTTAAGACAGCTGACTCTACTGTGATGTGATGTGAGTCCCTCCCTCCCTGAGAGATTCTCCTAACAGATACGGCAGTTTCTCCTGGTTTGAAAGAGTTTTAAATGTCTGATGGATCTGCTGCATTTTCTCATAGAACACTGTCCGTATATCTGTGTATTTGGGGCATTCTGTTAGGAAGTGCAGTTCTGTTTCCATCTGATTCAGATCACAGTGTGAACACAGTCTCTGCTCCGGTGGCAGCCATGTTTTTCTGTGTCTGCCCGTCTCTATCATCAGCTTGTGTCCGCTGAGTCTGTATCTGGTCAACGTGCCTCTCAGTTTCTTATGACACTGTGTGCAGAGTATGTGTAAAAAAAAAAAAAACACTTGCTTTCTAATCTTTGTGTATTCTATCCGTTTTCTTTTCATTTATTATACAGTTAACAAAAGCAAAAAGACCTCTAACACTAGCTTGCTCTTTTCTTTTTCTAGGTTCCCTTTTTATTATATTATTTAAAAAACTCTTGCTACGTGTACTGCATTAAGCTGAGACTTATGGCACTTGTATAGCATTGCTCTTTTGTTGATTTTGATTGCTTCCATTGTCCTCATTTGTAAGTCTCTGGATAAAAGCGTCTGCTAAATGACTAAATGTAAAGGATGGAAAACGGCTGCAGCATTACAGTGTGATACAGGGATTCAATCTCTACGTCTTCAGCAGCAGGTGATAATGGAGGTGTAGAGTGCATTATAGCCGGACTATATCGGGTCTATACTTAACCGAGACGTTGAAATGTCGGCTATTGCTTGCTGGGGAGTGTGTATTTGGATATAATGATCAGTCCTGGGGCCTCATTTATAAAATGTGCGTACACACAGATTTGATCTTAGAGTGTGCGTACGCTAAAATCCACGGCAACGTTCAGATTTATAAAAACGGTCTTTGACGTGGAAAAGTACTTACGGCCACGTCAGGGTCTGAGCAGGCGTAGCCTACGCACTTTTCCTTGTGGCAAAGTCGGAGTACTGCAGCTATTTGAACATCTAAACTGCAATAATAATAAAAGCGGTGTACGTGCAAGCACCGAATTCATCATAAACAATAAAGATGCAATGTAAGAGATGAATGCAGTGTAGTCCGATTTTTTTATTAACGGGAGTTTTTGCGAGATTTAACTGACCTTTTTAGTAGTCTAATGTTGAGAGTTCTTGACTCGCTTTCTGTACACAGTTTATTCCATGTTCTTTTTTTTTCTTTTTTTTTTTAAACAGGAGAACTTGCGAAGTCTTGATTTACTACTAATGCGTAAAATAGAAAAAAAAAAGAATAGGCCTATGTCGTGCAATAACGTTTAATATATTCTATTCAATAACATTGTTAATGGTTTTTATCTATAACATCTGCTGCTTTGCTTCTGTGAAAATGAACATCAGCCTTAAACTTTGTTTTTGTCATTTACATCAGTTATATTTGTATAAAATACACTATATTAGGGCTGCCCCCTAATAGTCGACTAATCGTTAGTAGACCAGAAGAGGCTTGGTCAACCAAAATGTTTGTCGCAGAAAAAAAAAATCCACATTGGCAAAGTCACGCAGATCGCTGATCTATGGTAATACAGTACATCCGGCAGGACATAGTAACTTTACATGGCCGCTCAATCTAATGTTAACCTAGAGAAATGTGAGCTATATTCAAGTGTCTGTGTGGTAGCTGAACATTAGCGCTCACTGCAGGACAGATGGAGGCGCCGGTGCGCTCACTTGCTCTTAAAATAGGCTACTCCGTAATTTTTGGTCATACAGATAAGAGTAATACATCTTTCAAATCTGTAAAGACTCTGTTTATTTATGTGCACTCACAATAATAACAAAACGCGCTTTTGTAAAATAATGAAAGCAAACAGAATGTGCTTCCTGCCATCTCGGTCTGTGAACTCGAGCGCGAAACTCCGTGTATATCTTTGCCTTACAGACATTAAAATATATCTATAGAGAGTGAAATGTCTACTTTCAAATGAACCAATTCAAATGGAAAACAAATATTCTCAGATTATGTAATCCGTGTGAAACATGCACACAGGCGCTTCACTACTGCGTAGATGAGGAGTCGGTGTCGCCGAGTTAATCTCTTAAACCAAAACAAAGAAAGCACTTGTTTATCAGTGAATTATTAAAATGTTAATGCAGCCTCCTTACTGTTTTTCCCTGACACATTCATAGTCATAGCTTCTGCTGGTGCGCTGTGGCAAGCTTTATGCGTGTGCTTGAGCGCTTATTAGGCTTTGTAGGCAATTAAAGGCTCATTATAATGATTTAAATGGCTTATTAATAAACGTGCAATTAGTCGCCTAATGCTTAAAATGAACGATTACTAGTCGACCAGAAAAATCCTTAGTCGAGGGCAGCCCTACTAAATATTTTTGTGTCAGTACATTAATGGCACATTTGAGCAGCATTAGTAAACTGTAAATATAAAGAAATGCCAAATCACATGCAGGTTTTTTCAGACCGGAGACCATAATCGTGTAATAATTTATTTTATTATGATATGAAACACCCAATTTTTCTTTCAATAATGTTTTTTAAAGTTTTGCAAGAATGTCGTGATAAACTTTTTATTAGTTGTCATAGCAAGTGATTTTAAATGTAGGATGGCTCACTTTTTATAAGATGACTTTTGGAAACCTAACTGTTTTATATTTACTACTACTACTTCTACTACAACTACTAGGCTACTACTACTACTACTATTATTATTATTATTATTTATGTTGTTTCTAGAAGTAGCAATTTTGATAACTCAATAGAAAAAAATATAACCACACACACATGGACCTCAATTTCAGACTCAGTAGTTTTTTTTCTCTTTGTGCTCGTCATCCTCAAGCATAGAAATTCGGATATTGGCGTGTGCTCTTTTATATGGTAATGATATTAATTAGGGGGCGTGTACAAGGCGGAGATCTGACACCAGTCAGCTACGCACAATTTCAACATCATTTGCGATTTATAAATGCCACATCTGGAAGAGAGGCATACACACGTGTTTTTGTGCGCACGTTCGTTTTCTCTGAATCGCACTTACGCACTTTTGAGAAATTCTCTTAGAACAAATTTAGGACGGTTTATACAAAACATTTTATAAATGAGGCCCCTGGCCCTGGAGTTTGTTCTGCTCTTCCTCCAGTTGCTCATTCTGGCATGATAACAAAGGGACTAAACTCCCTGTAGTTCAGCCGTATCAGTACCTACAGAGTATCAGCTGTCACTGTCATTTTTGAAATAATTCTTTGTTAAATTACTGAAGTTGAATCAGTACTGTGGATTTTCCCTCACAGTAACATCACAATAATATACTGTCACATTACACAGAATAATCAGTTTCTTTTCCAACACATCAACCTTGATAAGTCACAAATAAAAGACTCTGAGATGCAATTAACTGTTTGAAACTCAATTAACCGTTTATTTCTATTAAATACAACACCGACAAATCCAGTTAGTGTTTCTGCTGTGACTAGCTGCAAATATAAATATATCATCTATAATTATATCTAATTTAGATCATAAACTCTTTGAACAACACATCCTGTACATTTTAGGTACATCTGCTATTCAGGTCAAAGTGAGTATTTCATGTTGAAGGTATCAGAGTCTTAATGTGCTCACACCAGCTTTCTAATGTTGGCTTTCATATGGTCTCCCTGCAGTATGTATACATAATGTATAATGCATCTCACTGCTTTAGGTTTGGCAAAATTACCTGTTTAAAGTTTAAATATCTGAACACTGCAACATTACACTTGGAACTGGCTGCACATCTTATTTTAAACTCTCAGTGGTTGCAGGACACTTGCAAACATCAACAGAATATATCAAATATATTAAAACTACTAAAACATCAAAAGTGGTGTCCTGCACTCTCTGTTGTGAGCATGTGTATCTTTCAGGGTAACGTGTCTTGCTGTGTGTGGGTCTGTATATGAGAGAGCGCGTGCAAGTCAGGGTGGTGTTTCTTGGTGTGTATGCGCAGGTACTGTTTCCCTGCGAATCGTTTTCCACAGCGGGTGCATTCGTACGGTCTTTCTCCGGTGTGGACAGTCTGGTGAGCAGTGAGGTGCCCGGACTGCGTGAAACGCTTCCCGCACTGCTCACAGCGGTACGGCCGTTCTCCAGTGTGAATGCGCATGTGTGTGTCCAAACTCTGCGATGTGGTGAAACACTTCCCACAGATCGAGCAGATGAAGTGTCGCTTGCCGGCTTCACCTGTCCGTAGAGCACCCAACCGGCCATAGAGACCCAGCCCTGAGACGTTACCCAGAGCAACGAGCCGCTGTGCAGCAAACAATGGAGAATTATGGGATATGAGAGAGTCTGACCCGCCAATCCTCTGTGGAGAGGTCTGCAAGTGTGTGAGCGTGTTACGGACAGAGTGCGTGGCCCAATCAGATACCGGATCCATATCAGCCTTCATGCACAAGTCTTCATGAAACACTCGATGGACTTGGGAAGCACGTGCATCTAACGAGGTTTGCGCAAGGGAGAAGGAAGCATTATCTGAAGCAGCCAAGTCGATGCTGGAGTGCTGGGACTCATCAGCGCCGGAGTGTGTGTCTGCAAACGTGAGAGTGTGAGAGTGTGTGTCATGGTCAGGGGAGTGGGAGAGTGTGTGAGAATCCTGTCCCGAAAGTTCAGCTACATCTGGTTTCGGAGAGTCGTGAGTTACTGCAGAAACACTTTCACCTTCATCCTCATCGTCGTCATCATCTGTTGAGAAACACACACAGTATGAACTCATTTTGAAGGGTTAGGTATGAACATTCCTAGTATGCAGTATATTTTCATGCCCCCTCATAGATGCACTAATATTTTGGATCATTTTTAACATATCTGGTTGACAGAATTTTATTTTTAATAATGTAAAAAAGTAATAAAACTTAATTGGTTGCTTCACCATATGCAAAAATTATATATTTTACAAAACAATATTTAATCACTGTAAAAGTTGTAAAAAATGCAAGTATGAAAGTAACAATTGCCATAGAAAATATATATTATATTCAAAAAGGGAATAAGCATGCTTTCAGTATGCAAGGTAATATGCATGTATATGTCACCTTCGGCTTGATCAATTGGAACTTAAAGACAATTAATATTCAGAAAATGTTATCAATCTAACTACTGAAACTATCGGATAAAAACAGCTGAATGACGACACAATTGTTTTCTATAGAGCTGTTTAATAGCTCTGTTTCATAATTAATGAACTGCATCCTTAACACTATTATTGAACTGAACTGAATCAACCTTAAACTAAATTGAGAAGAATAATGAGACTATTGCCTTCTGTAGAGCTGCTTTACAGCTGAAACTGAATGAATTATGACATTGATAATTCTAACTGTTTATTATTGTGAAGCTGCTTTGAAACAATCTGTATTGTATAAAGTAAATAAATATGACTTCATTATCGATTACTTAAAAGTTAAAATATTAATTTACATAGAAAATATGCAAAGGCAAATACTTAAAAGACAATATACATACTTAAGATAAGCATACATATCTCAAATTTGGCTTGGTCAGCTGGGGCTTAAAAGACAATATTCAGAAAATATTATCGATCTAACTGTACTGACACTAAGAGATGAGAACACACAACCTGAACTGAGCTGAACAATAAAACAAGCCCTTCTGTAGTGCTGCTTCATAGCGTAAACTGACGTCGTTTCATAATTGAAGTCTGCAGCATCAACACTTTTATTGAAATGAATTGAATCAACACTCAACTGACTTGAGTTGAATAATGACACTTTTGTCTTCTGCACAGATGCATCTGATGAATGGCGAATCTGACGTCATTTCATAATTCATGAACTGCCACATTGATGAACTGAATCAACATTGACCTGAATAATGACAATATTGTCTTCTGAAGAGCTGCTTTATAGCTGAAATTGAGGTTGTTTCATAATTAGTTACCTTAACAGTTTATATTATGTTTAAGTATAAAATATGAATAGTCTTATAATCTATTCCTTATGCCGAACCGTGACATTTGTTTAAATTTTATTGAAGTTGTGTGCTTTGCCATAAAGTCTGAGGAAGCATTTCAAAAAATATCTCCTTGAATTACAACACAAGCATATAAATTTTTATTAATTAGTGAGTTTCAATGGTAATGCATAACAGGAATGACCCGAGGCGCCTCACCTCCCAGCGGCGGCTGCTCGAGACCTTCCTCTTTGATCTGCATTTGGATCAAATCTCTTTCCTCACGAAACTCAAGCATCTGGAATCCGAACAAAACAAATAATAATTGCGTGTACACTCATCATTTTACTTGCACTATAATCACAAAATACCCAAAACAACTGGTCATCTAACCTCTGCCACTGTACCCCGGCTGGTGGACTCCCCGCCTCCGGGCGTTTTTCTGCCCACTAGCGATTCGCGAGCACTACCATCACACCGACCGTCTCGCGCTACAGTTTTTTCGTCGCTGTACCCCCGCGCCGCAACGATGGACTCTATAAGCTGCAGTTTCCGTCGGAGTTCTTCGTTTTCTTTCTGGTGGCGTGAGATCTCGATGTGTAAAACGGCGTAGCCGTCGTCCACAAGCTCGCAGATTTCTGCCACCGCCGCACGAGTCAGCGTCTCCATGATGGTCGCGAGCTGGGTGTGAAACGCCCGGTAATTCGCCATTCTTCGCGTTTGGGCCGCCTGTTGGTCCCGCGGAAAACCGTGTACGGTGATTACTGCGTTCGTTGTCCGTGAAGTAAGGCTGTCCTGTGTTGTTTTGATTTTCGGTCTGAAACGGTGTAAACGCTTTGAAACTGTTGCTAGTGGAGGCTGATGTCGTTTCCGGGGGGGGCTTCGCTCAGATGTTTTGTCAAAATAAAAGTCACGTGGACTATTTTTGTAACGTTCAAACTAAAACATCATGAAGTGCCAATATAATTATTACCAATGAAACGTCTGATAACTGAATTCACAGGTAACTAGGACACAGATAGCGTACAAAATCATATGATTTAAATGCATAAAAATGTATCCTCCTAAAAAACGTTCCTGTTTTTAGTTACACTAAACAAATATGGGCAAAAGGTGGTCCTTTTGTGAGTGTGTGCGCGTTTGTATACACACACAAAATGTAAACACAATTGCAGCAGTTCTGATATACAATAACTTAACTCATGCTCTGAGATTTGCTTAAATATATTAGAAATAAAATACAGAAATCTTAATCCAAGTACATTGGAAGGTTCTGGACTCCCCATCCCACACAGAAAGACAAACATCACAAGACTAACATGACTCAAATTTAAGAGACAATTTCACACAATTTCAGGTTCAATACTTTGGGTGGTTTATTTGACTGCCAAACAACAGCTTTAGATCATTTATTTTGTAAGTGATGAGTTCAAAATCCTGATCCTGTACATTTTGTTATCATTCTTCATGATATAAGACATTTCCAATTATGCAATTAACATACATTTCAATAACTAATTCTTTCATGGTTACAGGTGTATTATCATCTGTATCAAATAACTATTAAAAGTACAGAATATAACATTTATTAATCATGGCATAAGGACAGGTATGAGTACATAAGATAGAAGCGAATAAGGCTGCATTTATCTGCGGCTGGTGCTACCAGATTTCCTCTTCCCAGCAAAGAGATGTTTAGGTTTGACATCAAACACATGTCGATCAGATTCACCCTTCCTTCCCTGCTGGTTCATGTCCTTCTGCGAGTTCTTCATCATGGTCTTTACCTTCTTCAACATCTGGGGCAAATATGACAAACAGACAGTCCAATGAACACATTACTCTATGAAAATCTTGTTAACACTTTGCATTAAGGTTCCCTTTGTAAAGGGTTTATAAAGGTGTTCATTAATGACTAATAATTATAAATCATGGAAAAACAGACATGGATAATCATGGATAACTGCATTAATAAAAAGCCAATAAGTGAGCCATTTTAACTCGTGTTTTAAATCAGTGGTTCTCAACCTTTTTTGGGCCAGCGCCCCCCTACCCATTATCCAGGTCCCTTACCGCCCCCCATTAAATTAAATGTAATCTAATCATCTTCACTGAATATTTAAGTTGATTATCATTTTGTGTTTATAATGAAGACTGTATACTTACAGTAGGCTACCATATAAACGTTTGGGGTCATTAAATACTTACATTTATTGACTCATTAAATTGATAAAAAAGACAGTAAATTGCTTTTTTTACAGTAAATTATTTGACAATAAGTGCGTTTTACAGAGTTTTTAAGCATGTTGGTGATTTTCAGCATTTTGGCGATGTTGAGTTTTCTGACACTGACCCTGTTGCCCCAAACAGGTCCGTTTCTAGCCAATTTGGCGCCCTAGGCGAAATCCCTTGATTCAGCATTTCGACACCTCCGTAAGGATGCATTTAACTCGACAAAGCGGTCTAATAAAGGATGTATTGATCTCGTGAATTAGCAAATTTTACTATACAAATATTTTTTAATTGGATGTTAAAGTTTATATGGGAATATTACATGACACGCTGATCCTTTAACAATGCATTGCCGCAAAAAACGCACACCTTTTGGACAAATCTGCCACAAATATTTGGACAAATGTGCCACAAATACTGCCTAAACAAAATACTGATTTTGTGCAGTTTATTTACTGTACCAATATTTTAAATTGGCCTTTGAACTTAGCTTTATTGCATGGCAAAAAAAAGTGTTACCTTGCCAAAGCACTGACAGAGCCCACTGATCTAACGGCGTTGTTGAGCGCTCCAAATGCAAACTTTGCATGCAACAATCGGGCAGCAATTGACAGCACTGTGATCTAGTGGCATACAGGCATCGTCAGATTGACAGTACTCTAGCCCAATAATGTTGGGGGATCCAGTGGGGGCAGTCATATTTCAGGGTGACCGTGCCACTCTTTATCACAACCCTGCTAAAAGTGCCAGTACGTGCGCTCATTGGCACCCCTTCAGCTGGTGGCCACCGCCTAGCTCGCCTATGCCTAGAAACGGCCCTGGCCCCAAAGCTTAGAGAGACTTTAAAAATTCCTGTTTAGAATTTATTCACAGGGGAATTTATACAGAAGAGATTTCAGTTTGTTCTTCCTCTCCTGGAAGTCTTGAACACCCTTGTACTGCTGTGATTTTACCTCTAAATTTTGGGTGGATGTTTTCAATTAGCTTTCAGTGAAAAATTAAAATATTTATGCTTTAGTAATAGAAAATATCCTGTTTTTTTCCAAATATACTGAATTCCCTGTTTTCTGACTGAACATGGTCATTTTGGTGGGTAAATATAATGAATTGAAATTACATTTATACAAATAAATGTAAATGTAAAGAAGATTTTGTGAGAATATAAAAATAAAAAAACACGAAGTAGAAAGATGGAAAACATATGCTCCTTGTCAAAATAGTTACTATTTTAGCACTGTCCTGATTCATATATGTGACCCTGGATTCACAGCCGACACCCAAGCATGAATAAATGTTTTATTTATTAAGGATGACGACGACGATCAACAGCACAAGACATGCCTAAACAGCGAGAGAGAGAGAGAGCGAGAGAGCGAGCGAGCGAGCGAGAGAGAGAGACTGCCTGAATGACTGAGCGCGTCCTCCATCAGGTTAAGTCATATTCATGAAAAAAAATTAGTTTGCGATGTCCTAAGAGTAATGTTGTCGTAATATCCTAATATCTTTTCAATGTTTAGGGGTAACGTACTCCCTCATGACTGGTGTCAGTGCTATAAAGTGAAGCATCAGCTTCATTTCCCCCTGTCGTTTATTCCAAACGTCACTGATGTCACTGCAGCTGCTGGCAGTTCCAGATAGCTCCGCCCTTGCACCATAGCTCGTGACCGGAAGAGTAGAGGAGTCGTTTTGAGAGGGAGGGGAGGTTAACGATTTTGATTAAAGATTATGAGGGCACATGAATTAAAAAAAAATAATGAAGTGCACAGATAAATTATTTATAATAAACACTACAGTATTCCATTAAAAAATAAGAATTTAAAATTTTGATTTCATGGTGACTAAGTAAAGAGTAGTTGCTATGGAAATGATACACCATCTAATCTTGTATTCATGTTGGTGTAATGGTAGGTAACACTACTATACCGGACGCGAACGCCGCGACACATTGCATCAAAGCCCAGTGTTTATGTCATGGAACGTGCTCTACAATAAACCGGTTCTGCGTTCTATTTCTGACGCACTCCACGCACTTGAGCTACCGCGCCACTAACTGGACAGATAGATATGGAAAGTTCGCTTTGATGCTCCCGGTGTATAGACGGCGTCGGGACGTTGCAGATCATTTTCTTTTGCAAGTTTCAGCTCCTACATCTTTTGGTAAAAACTCGCCTTAAAGGGGGGGTACAATGCGGTTTCATGCCTTCAGAGTTGTTTACACTGTTAAAGAGTTTAATTCTCATGCTAAGCATGGATAACGTTTCAAAAAACTATTTGGACGTTTGACGGAGTATTTCTGTGGCAAAAATCTTACTTCCGGGTTCGGACAAGTTTCGGAGAGTTTTTTTCGATCGTGGCTCTTCATGACGTAAACGAGGGTGGAACTCACTGATCTATATATGACTCTATTATAGATCAGTGGTGGAATTCCTTATATGGGCATTTCTCCCGGAAGAACGCGCTTCATGCTCGGGAAGAATGTCTCCAAAGAAGTGTGTTTTTGGTTTTAAGGGAAAGATAACACTGTTCAGCTTCCTAAAGAACCCAGCGTTATGTAAACAGTGGATACAGTTTGTTTTTCCGGGGCAGCAACAGAGTTTCACAAGTGTGTTTGTTGACGAACGTTTTATAAACAAGGCCCAGTTCGATGCTGGATTTGCACATTGTGTGATACTGAAAAATGGAGCGGTCCCAGCTATAAAAGATCCCGGTCATGATTCAGAACTGCAGACGGTAAGTGAAACGGCATCAAATGTCTGTTTTGTTGGCAATCGGTGCAAGTGCTCGTCAATCTTTAGCTCCGCCCACGGCGCGCCTCCAGGAGCTCGGCTGTTTCCGGAGAGAATCGTAAAGCTGTATCTTTCTTTTATAAATATAATAAAACTAAAGATTTTTGGAGATATGAAGGATGCAATACTACTCTATAGGTACTCAAGATTAACATGAGATTGGGTGAAACTGTGTGTGTTATGTCACCTTTAACCAAATGCCCCCCTTTCAAAAATATTGTTTCGAGCGCCCCCTCGGTGCTCTCTCCGAACGCCCCCGTTGAGAAACACTAATTTAAATGCTTAATAAATATATTTATTCATACTTATTTCACTCAAAACCAGATTCCTGATTTATTTCATGATGCAGCAAAAATGGACTATTGTAGTGGGACTGAAGGATGTTGTATTTGTGGTTCTTTTCAATATTTTGTCATGTCACTTTTCTTTCTATGTTGCTTACCAGAAGCTGCTCTGCGTCTTAACCACGATACTCTGCATAAAGGTAATGATGCCTATCCACAGCAATGTATAACACCTGATTTCTTGTTTATCAAGATGAAATTATCAAAGTTTATTTTGGAAAAAACAAAAAACAAATAAAAAAAAAAACAGAGACAAAAAAACAAGAGCACAACCATGACTTCATGAGATATTTGTGTGGACAAAGGTGTGTTTGTAGTTACATTTTTACGTTACGATAAAAACATTTTTCATGAGAAGTCATGCTGTTAGGACTGTTCCAGCATGCTCTGAAGTGCAATTTTAATCTCATGTTGTACTGATTTTATGGGTAAACTAACAGAGGTGTCATCACAGACTATGTTTTTCAAGTGTCTGTGTAATCGCTGTGCTAGTTTATTAAATTAGTTACCATACAAATAAAA